ATTAGCCATGCAATAAGCCTGGGAAAACAGTAAGCATCCCAGGTAGAGGAAACCACAAATGCAGACTCTGAAACAGGGTCAAGTAGAGGGATTGGCTTTTTAGAGAAAAAGAGAGGAAGCCGGTACGACTGGGGCAGAGTGAGCAGGGGGGAGAGTGGGAGGGGATGAGGTCAGAGAGCCCATGGAGCTCTAGAGACCCCTGTAAAAAGTTTGGGTTTGCTCTAAGAGCAATGAAAGACACAGGACTACAAAGGAGAGACATGATCTGATTCTGTATTTAAAAAACCCACTCTGGCTGTGGTAGCAAAGGGATTGTGGCGGACAAGAGCAGAGCAGGGAGACTACTCAGGAAACTAATGCAGAAATCCAGGCGAGAAATAACCATAATTGGAGTGAGGAAGTTAGCAGCAGAAATGAATGAATTCAGGATGTGTTCTGGAGATAAAACTAAACAGAACTTTCATTGGGTGCATTGCATTTGAGGGTGAGGAAAGAGGAATCAGAGAACAGATTAGCTTGAGCAACTGGATGCTATTTTCTTAGATAGGGAAAAACAAGATTGGGAGAAAAATCAAGACTTCTGTTTCACAGTATATTACATTTGAGATGCCCTTGATATATCCAAATGATATATGAGAGATGTCCAGTAGGTGGTTGAATATGTGAATGTCAAACTCAGGAGAGGGGAAGTAGAGAGGGAATACAAAAATTTAGGAGGCAGAGGAATAGAAATGCTATTTAAAATTGTGAGCGTGGATATAACACCTCAAGGAAAAGTGTAAATAAAGAGAAAAAGGGTCAGGACGGAGCCTGTTAGAATCAAGAATACAGAGAAGTCTCAGCAAATGAGCCTGAGAAGGAGCCAGTCAAGTAGGTGAGAAACCGGGAGATTGTGATGACATAAGAGGCTGTGAGAAGGAGGTGTATGTTTCAAGAAAGGAGTAGTCAATTGTGCTAAATGCTGCTGATAGGCCAAATAAGATACTACCACTAACACTACTATTACTAACAGCTAACATCTACTGAGCACTTACCATGTACCACAGTCTGTCCTAAATGCTTTACAGCTCTTAACACTTTGAATCTTCTTCGAGTATGGAAAAGAAACCATTAGATTTGGTGACACAGAGGTCAAATGAAGAGATCCTCATTCAACAATAATCTTCAAGTCCTGACTTGTTCCAGGCACTGCTTGAGGCATTGAAGATGAAAGACAAAGGTCCTGCCCTCATGACAGCAAGTAAACAAAAATATAATACAGTCAGATAAGTGTCTTGAAGAAAATGAGCAAGCCAAAGGGTGTTCTTTTTGGTACACGTTTATAGGAAGGTAACAAAACTTGAGGGAAGATGTCCTGAGAGAGGAAAAATTTGGCAAGTGAAATGATCCTGAAGTAGAAGCAAGGATGCCTATGTGGCTGGAGAGCAGCAACTACGGGCAGAGTGGTAGGACATGATCAATTTCAAGATCAGGTTAGTGACAAGGGCCAGACCAAGCAGGGCCTTGTAGGCCTGCTAAGGAGTTTAGATTACATATGCATGAGATGAGAACCCCCTCTGGAGGGCTGAGAGCAGGAGAGCTGCATATAATTTATGTTCTAAGGGATTCTCATTCCAATGAGTTGGGAGGTGGGGCAAGAGTGGAAGCAAGAGCCCAGGTGGGGGCTAGTTCAGTGGACCAGGCAAGAGATGATAGTGGCTTATGAAGATGAAGAAATTTTAGATGTTATGAAACAGTCATAGAAAGATAGCTCAAAGTTAGATTTGCTAATGGCTTGGAGGCAGGGTGTAAGAGAAAAACAGGTGCCAAGAATGATTCCAAGGTTTCTGAACACCAGGATAAATGAATAATGGCGCCATTTGCTGAATTAGAAAACGATGGCAGAGTAGCAAGATTGGGTGCCAGAGTAAGAGTTCAGTTGTGGACGTGTTAAGTTTTATGCGCCTAACAGATATTTAAGCAGGGATGCTTGGTTACAGATAATTGTTTATAAAACTCTGGAGTTCAGGGGAGAAGTTGAGGCTAGAGATAATTTGGGACATTATCAGCATATAATTAAAGCCATAGAACTGATGACATCATCTAGGAAATAAGGAAAGTTCTAGAAGACTCTGACAGGACTAAGCCCTCAGTCACTTCAACCTAAAGACTGGGAAGAGGAAGCTCCAGCAGAGGAAGCTGAGTCAGGAACAATCAATGAGGTAGGACAATGGAGGTGGTGGTATCCCAGAAGTCAGGTAAAGAAAGACTTCTAAGAAAGAAGTGAATGCATCAAATGAGTAGGATGAGGATGAAGAATTAACTATTGAATTTGGCAGGACAGAGGCCATTGTGACCTCAACAAAAGCCACTTTGGCTAAGTGGAGAGAGGGAAAGCTTAATTTAAGTGGTTTAGAGAATGGAAAAAGAGGACATGGAGAAAATGACTCAAAGACAACTATTTTGAGAAATGTTTCCTCTAAAGAAGAACAGAGAAATAGGAGTGATAGCTGGAGGGGTATAAGGAGTTATGGGAAGATTTGTTTGTTTTTTTAAAGATAGGAGTTACTGTGCAAGTTCCTGTGCTGATGGGGGTGAATCCAGGAGAGAGGGGAATACCATGATGTAGGACACAGAGGGGCTAATTTTAGGAACAAAGAGCTTAAAGCAGTTAAATGGGATGGGATCCAACACAGAGACTGAGAGAATGGCCTTTAAGAGGAGCAAGAACAGTTCATCAATTATTAACAGTAGAAAAAGTACAGTATATATATGTACAGATACTGGTGGTTTGGTAGGTTACATGGTGGAAAAATATGAAGATCTTTTGTAATTTCTTCTTAAAAAAAGTAAAGTCACCAGCTAAGAGTGAGGATGGAGGAAGGAATGTAGAAGGTTTGAGGAAAGAGAACACTAACCATGATTTCTGGGACACTTGGAAAATGAATTGACTAGGGAAATATGGTATGACTGCCAAGCAGCACTGAGAGCCCACTTGAAGTTCAAGGTCATAAATGTAATGATCAGTAAGCATAGTTGTTTGCATTTCTCTTGTCATTACCTGTTATTCAAGTGCAGGCAAGAGCTGGATTTATCCAGGCAAGAATGACAGAGGGAAAGAGAGGCAAGGGAATGATTCCACTGGTGGACCACAGAATATAAGGCGAGTAGGGAGAAACAGAACCTAAGGTAGTGATACATAATGAAAGATTAGTAGGATCAGCTGATGAGAGGTCCCTTTAAAGATGAATTTGATAAGAGGGGGTACATGGAGGAGTGAGCTGGAAAGACAGGACATGGTTAGAGATTAGAGTGCTTGAAATAGAGATTCTGTAAATCGTAAGGCAATTGAAAAGACTAGGGTAGTGGGTGACTAAGACGGGGTGAAGGACATGATCATTTGAAGCAAGGAGATCAAAGAACTGAGAAGCCAAGTGGATCACCCATGTGGATATGAAATCTCCATGCAAGATGACAAGGGTGGCCGTGGACAGAAAGGCAGTAAACTAGAGCAGTTTCAGTGGAGTAGAGGGGAAAGAGGCCCAGCCAGGTGGGTTGAGGACAGAATGAGAGGTGAGGAAATGGAGTCAGTGAGTATAAAAAACTCTTCAACAAGTTCTATGGTAAAAGAGAACAGAAAAATAGTGGTGATGATGGGGAAAGGACATGTCTGAAGAAGACATGGGGTCAAGAGTTTTTTCAAGATGAAAGATTCTAGAGTATATGTGTATGCTCAAGGGACTGATTCACTAGAAAGGGAAAAACTGATGCTGTACGAGAGAGGGGATAACCGTAGGAACAGGGTTCTTCAGGAAACAAGGTTGTAATTCAAAGCACAAGTGAAGAATTTGCTTTTCATAAGAAGAGGCACAATTCTTCTCTGAAATATGAGAAAAGACAGAATCCATGGGTACAGATGTGGGTAAGGCAACAGATTTGTGGTGAGAAAAGAGAGTTCATGATTGATTGCTTCTGTTTTCTCAATAAAGTGTAAGACAAAGTCTTCAACTGGGTGGGGGCCAAAGGTATGAAGGTTGGAAGAGAGTCAAGAAGGCCTTTAGTCATCATCTCAGAGACTGGGAAAACTAACTTACTAGGTGTTTACAGTGAACTTGCTATGCAGTGCCACGTGCCCAACTGAGATTTGTGGTAATGAAATTGAAGTAAACCAGTCAGTATGGTTGTGCAATTTTGTACAGCAAGAGTCAACCGCTTAGGTGGAGGAAGAGGGTAGATGGATGGCTGGGTTATACCACGGCTGGGGTTCTGTCAGAAGTATGGTGGATAGCGGGAGGGCCAGAGGATGGTAGAAGATGTTGTAAGGGAACAATGAAGTGACAGACCGTAGAATGGAGGCTGGGTGAGGAGGAGTCGGTGAGAACATGTGATAAAAATTAATTAGCGAAGGGATTGGAGGGCCAATGTGGACAAAGAATTGTTTTGGGCTGGGTCATCAGTGAGGGATCCTAAGTGAGCTGGTGTGGTCAGAGAAAGAATGTCTCATCAGCCCTGTTACCTGGTGAACTTGGTGAGGACTGAGCATATAGTGAGCACTGAGTAGATGTACTCTTTGAATATTTGCTCAATGAATGTTTTGTTTCCACATGGGATCATGTGCCAAACACTGACCAAAAGATTCTCACTTCAAGGATCTTTCCCGTTAGTAGGGAGAAAGATGAATGGTGTAATACAAAATCTTAAGCGCTATAATTGGGATAATGCACAGAAGGGTGCAATGACTAACTGTAAAGAAAAATTCAGAAGGGATTCAAAAGGAGGCACCAGTAAGTCGTCAAGGTCCGCTCAGGGGTGACAGTGGAGGAAGTGAAGGGATTCAGATTCACTTTCCCGTCAGAGTCCCTTTAAGTGCAGAGAGGTGACTGCAAAGCAGCAGGTAAATGACACCAGAATTATCTTCCTTGAAAACGCAGCAAGCTCTTGCATGCAACTCTTCACATTAGGACCCCCAGTCATGGGGGCGCGGGGTTGCTCCGTGCGGGGGAGGCGGGGGCAGCACCTACCGTTCAGGGAAGACTTCTGAAGCCGTGGCGGGAATCCGGTGATCAGGGATGGCGAGATTATCAGGGCGGCGCGGGGGAGCACCTCGGACCCGGCGGCCTCGTGGGGTTCGCGGGGCCGGTGGGGCCCCTGGGGCCTGCGGAACTTGTGGGGCTCATGAGACCCGCGGAGCTTGCGCGGTGCCCGGGACTCGCGGGGCTCGTGGGGTTCGCGAAGCTCCGACTCGTCACACTGCTCACTCGCGTCTCGCTTGTCTCGCTCGCGGTCGGCCTTCTCGGGGTTCTCGGGATCCTCGGGATCCTCGGAGTCCCCGAGCTCGTTGTGCACGTCGAGAATCCTGGGCACAAGAGGCTTCTGGAAGCCTTCGGAGCAAATGGATATTTCTGTGGTGTCCTGGCCGTCGGTCACCTCGGACAGCGCGGATAAACCTGAGAACTCTCGGTCCTGCATCCGTGCGGGAAGCTCCCAGGCGCGGTGGGCTCTCCGAGCCGCGAGGCAGGGCTGGGGGCCGCCCGCGCCCCTCCCCCAGACCCGCCCCGCCCCAACACAGCCCCGCCCCAGCAGGCGTTGTCCCGTTGCCAAGGAGACGCGCAGCTCCCCAAGGGCTTCGGGGAGCGCCCGGCGAGGCGAGGAGCCAGAGGCGAGTAGGGGGGACGGGGCGGGGGACAGAGATCCTGACCCTGTTCACTGTGTCAAGGTCGAGGACTTTCGCATGCCCAGGCCGTGGAGCAGAACACATCAGCTTCCAGTCTATTCCAGCCTCGTTACTGCAGAGCCAGGTCTCTGTTAGGTTTTAGAGGTGCCTGGGCACAGATTCTATACAAGCCTTTGTCCCCTGATCATGCTGGGAAAAGATGCCGAAACTGACAAGACCCTCAACCACTGGAACTGATTTTCTTCAATTTCTAGTCAATGCGCAGCAATCAGAATGAGTGGGGAGAGTGGGGGGTAATGACATTTGGTCCAAGCATTCAAGAAGAATCTCCAAGTTAGATTTTTGACTTTATCTCTATATGAAGTTCTACACGCAAGCACAAAGAAACACTAACAGGATTAAAATAAAACTATATTCATCTACAACTTGTGTCCCATTACAGGGCACACTATCTATTGAAGTATGCTATAAATCATTATTTTTGTAAGTCCTGTAATTATCTTGTGAACAGCACAACTGTATGCTTTGTGTGTACATTAATTTTTTAACTGTGATACTTTTTAAATACAATATACCACAATTTTTTTTTCCTTTTTATCTTTTTTCGTGACAGGCAACGGATCGCACCCCTCAGTGTCGTGCCCCTACCGGACCGGGACGGCAAGGGGATCGCAACCCTCAGTGTTGCGCCCGCACCTTGCTCAGCCAGTGAGCGGCCCGTGTGTATGTGGGATCCGAA